AGAGGTCTTGGGGTCAAATAGAACTCTGATGCTCAGGCGCCTTCTAATCTATATACATATGAGCATAAATTGCATTTCATTCCTTATTCTTCGAATAAGCGGATTTGGGCAAGCCATAATGTAATAATAGCATGCTTCCATCTTATACCAGTTGTGAACAATGTGCTCTTCTTGTGATAGTAAATAGCGCGATCCTGATGACTATTCTATCGTGCAGATAAATTGAACTGATCGCCGTCGATTGGTGGATTGTACCAGTCAATTACAGGCATCACCCTGTTCTTTCTGATGAGATACGATGAGTCCCCGGAGATTATATGTAGTGTATGCTGTCATTGAAGCCTTATACAGAAGGTGTATAACGAAGTCTTTACAAAAGTGTATTTGTTTGAAATTGCTGCAATCATTATTATCCTATTCACTGTATTTCAGGTAACTGGCAGACCCCTCGTAGTAGTAACTCAAAATTCTCGACTCTAAGAAATCACCAGCCCCGTCGTTTGCCCCTCAGACTCGCCGATTTGCAAGAGCGGATTCGATGCAAGGGAGCGCTGAACCCCTTCTGACAAGCAGAGTCATATATTTGCAACAATGAATGGTTCCGATGAAATCGGGTCTGGCGCCTAATTCGTGCGAAAGCTAAACTTTGAGCTCGGTTCGAGGGGAACTTTCCTAAGTCTTTGAGCTTTCGCTAACAGATTCTATTTTTTTCTATTGCGTATGTTTAAGTAGGTATGTCGATATATGTGAGTAAATGTTTTTGTTAGTACAAGACCTTGCAGCAGCTAAATACGGAAAACCTATTATCAAATTGCATAGCAGTATAATGATTGAAAAGAGTTGCAAACTACTTTTATACGGTTGACACATAAATTACACATTGTTACCAAATTCTATTATATCACTTAAATAGCTTACATACGTACTTGTTATATAATAGCACAGCTTGGATGATGCTCCTGAATTTTCCACTGGAAGTCCTTGCAACACAAGGTCGCATAACGGATGGGCAAAAGGTAGATTGCGTATTTTGAACAGGCAGCCACATGTGAAGAGCACACACAGTTTCGCTATACACTAAGCTGTATGTATTTATTTCTCGGACATGAAAACGTAGTTCACTTAATTCTAAACTATGAATTTTACGAAGGAAGCCTTTAGAACTTAGTTCCCCTGTTCACCTGCATCAGGTCAAGGTTGACCGAAAGAAGTTATGGTAGTATTAGACTTTCCTCGTCGGTCAAACCTCAGTCTAGGAGTGAAACCGTACTGAAGTACTATTTTTATTATTTATTTAAGGAAAATAATAAAGCGTAGACATTTATGGGTCGCTACCCAGTCCAATACAAAACTGCGTCATTGTATTTAGCGTTTATTATACGTAACTTCTAATAGAATTATTTCTTTTAAATTTGTCATTTCACTGAAGTTTCGGTTAGAAATAGAAGTTGTTACCAAATACGCCCAACGACGATACACAAACCTGACTTTATAATAAGCTATGCTATGCTATGCACAAAAGCGTGCTTTATGTTTATGATTTGCTTCTGGCTTCATAAATGTACGCAACCTTTACACGTTTTGGAGTTGAACAATAGCCGACCCTAGAGGTCATCGCCTACGACGAAGGTTTTGAGAGAGAAAGTCACCTGACTCAACCAGGTTTAATTATCTAATATATTTTGTTATATACAGACTAAAAGGCTTTCGCTAATAATTGCCTACGTATAATTATCAAAACGCGTTCTATTTAATGTTGAATATCTGAGTCTGTTCTTAGTCTTAAATTAGCACCACATGCTAGGCACACTTCATGAGAAAGACATATGAGGTTTCAGCTCAGACGAACCCTTTCCCCAAAGCCCACTAACTGTCGCGGGCTTCAATATAATGAACGCGACATCATGTTTCCACTTAGTTGAAGCAGTCTCAAATGATCGATCGATTGCTCTCCGTATTTTGTGATCGATCGCGCTGTTGAAATTAATCGAACTTTATTGAAAGATTTAAGCACCATGAAGTTTAACTAGAAGTGTATGATCAACAGGTTAGATGCTTTAATGGAACCAGTCCCGTGAAGCTGAGCGTTTTGACCTCGTCCAAGAACCCGAGTGGCAATGATGAATATGTTCGTATTAGTCAAAGTTCTTTTGTCCATCGTCTTGTTCTTCACTAAGTGCAACTCATCACTGTTTGGTCGTGCGTTGGACAACGACGCGACGTATTCCTCTGTTAACCTCTTCACAAATGGAGAAAATCGGTCTACCATAGGCAATTACAGCCTTCTGGGGATCACTGCAAATTCTTTCAGCGAGGTCATCCATGGTAGTGCCGTGCCACAATTTGTCAGTCCATCATCGCTATCAAGCGCAAGTACATTTGATAGACAGCTTCTGCAGGATATGCGAGACATGCCAACGTCGTTTAAATCGCCGATGTCAAACGCTAGTGAATTTATTACCGCTGTTCGAATCGGCAGATGTAAAGCTATGTGTCTCCTTCTACTTGCTCCTGATCTTGGAAGATTGCGAAATAACCGAGGTTTTCTAACAGATGCCAACTGCGGAAACAATGAAAAGTGTCGTATTTGTGAAGCAGCCTGTGAGGTACCTGAAGACGGCTGTGATCAACAGTGTAAATCGGTAGGTCTATCGCCTACCTTCTGAAAATGATTTAAACTTAAATGACCTCTTTATACATCGTAATGTTGAGTTACACCCTCATCAAGCAACGAAGAATCGATAGATTATTTGTTTTCGACGTACTCCTATGCTTCGCCAGTCTAGGCAGTGAAGCTATCCGAGGATACAAGTCTATTGCTACTAACATCAATTAAATAGAATGAGCTGATAAAGAAACAAATAATTAAAAATAAAGTGAAATTACTGATGGTAGTCACTTGTTTAACCTGAAAAATGGCTTCACTTTATTACTATCCTTTTTAGCGTGCTGAATGTACAATCGCTTGCAATTTCCGTAAAGAGCTGGCACAGACAGTATTGACTAGTTCAGCGAAGTTAGCAGATTTGCGATTGGATCGACCGCGGGCAATTTGCTTCAACTACGTTAAAAAGGCTGCCGTAGGCTTTTTATTTAAATGGTCTCTATTTAATACGACCTCTAGGCTGTACTTGAGCTCATCTGTGCCTGTTGTCTTCATTGTCGAGCATCGATCACGACCGCAGGATCGAGCGTACGTGGACGAGTCGTGGCGAGTTCTAGGCATGGTATTGTACAGCTTAAATATTTCTATTGTTCATAGATAAGAACATTTACAGGAACATACTGTAGGGAATGTTGAAATTACTAAAATTGGAATAGATCTTTATTCGTGGACAGCAGAAGTGTTATCCTGGAAAACGTAAATCTACTATGAATTCTAGTATAAAGTATGGGTTGGTTTCAAATTGATACTGAATAACAGTTATTTTCTGTGCATGCTATATCTCAGCTTTCGCAAGGTTTGATGCCCATCTTCGTCCCACCGGGTGGCCAATATCAATATCGTATAACCCCAGTGACAGTGGACGGCGTTTTAGCTGCGAGGGTTTCGCGTTGGACGTCTGTCCCGCAGGAACCGGGCAGATTCGAGGCTCCGACGGAAGTACGCGTCGTCCAGCAAAGAGGCAGCAGCCTTGGAATAACAGCTAGTATCGCCCTCACGCACAAAGGACTGCCGTCATGTCAATATTCCATTTATATTCTTCCGCAGTCGGAACGAGCGCGTCAAATCTACAGCCGATCGGAGCCGTATGATTTGTTTCAAAAGGACCTCGATAAACTGGAGTTTGCTATGAATTATACGCTGATAATCCGATCGACAGATTTTACGGGCGAGGAAAAGGGGGAGGCTTTCAGACTGCCGTTCGAAACGCTCACCTGTCTCGACGCATTCAGGCACAATTTCTCCAGCTGCGGTAACTATCACAGTCAACGTAACGATAAATGTAGATATAAATAGGCGCACTGTTTAATGATCGTATTTAACAAAATCATATTTTTATTTACAGCGATAGAAGGAGGATTTTAAGATACTCTATACATTGATGATACGAATGATATACAAACGACTATAGTCCAGGAAGTTATCGTCAATGTAGTGTTTCATCAGCAAATCGCAGAATATCAATTTTCGTTTTCGTATTAAAGGTTAACTTAGGGATTCACCAAGCAAGTTAACTAATGCGCGTGCGATATATTTAAATCTACATTTCGAATTTCGGCAAATTTTATATTGAAAAAAATAAAATATAAAACCTACGTTTCTGAGTTGAGTCAGGAAACGCAGATCTCGCTTTTCGGACCGAGGCATGACAGCAGGATTCAGTGCTCAGGAAGTTTGAGAGCTTCACGTCAGAAGCGTTTCAAAATTGCGTCCGGAGTGCTATTGATCCAAGACAAATATAATTAAAATAATCAATAATCATAAATCTAAATACGAAGAGCTAAATGCAACGGCGTCAACTTTATTAGCTTGATTACTTCATTTCTTCAGGACAAAGGGAACGTTGGCTAATTATTAGAGCGTTTTTGACTTTATTCCAGCTCCGGGACCGCCAAGCCTGGTCAGCGTCACAGGAACAAGGCGCGGCTTACGAATTACATGGAATCCGCCTCCATACACTAGTCCAGATAACCCTGTGATGGGTTACTGGCTTGCTATCAAGAAAAATGCACATTTGAATTGGGCAAGGAACTCTGCGCCACTCAATATCACTCGGTATGTGAATGCCTCAGTTAACTACGTGGAAGAGTCGTTGGATGCAGATCATTATGTCGTATCGGTAAGGGCTGTGAGCAATGCCGGCATTGGTGCGAGAGCTGAAAAATATTATCATCTTAGATTTTCATCGAAGGGTTTCTCAGACCACCTCTTTTCTATTGCTATCAGCTGTGTGTCTATTGGCTGTACTCTGATTATTGTGTCAGCTATAATCTGGAGTAACATAAAGGCAAAGAGAGAGGCCAAACGTATCGATGGGGTCGAGACATTTACGAATATGAACTTGAACACGTCTGACACACGTGCCGATTATATTCCCGCAGAGATCGAATCGCGCATGCGGAAAGCCTATAAAAAAAAGAAACTCTTTCTTAGGAGTCAAAATTCCGAGCTGTTTTCAGCGGTTCACCAGCGTGTACGTGGCGTTGGTGTTCTACTGAACAATCCACTCTATGGGCTACACGAAAGAAGAGAAAGATTTTTGCTTGAAAAAGTCGAAGAGTGCCTTGGCTCCGGTGCGTTTGGCCAGGTGTACAAAGCAATTGTGCGTATTGATGGCAAAAAAGAAGTCTTAGCCCTTAAAATGCCTAATAAGAACCTACCGCCAGAAGAACGAAAAGCATTTCGGCAAGAAATAGAGTTTCTCAAGCGTGTGGGAAGCCATCCGAACATCGTCGGTCTCAGAGGCTTTTGCTTAGAAGAGAATAACGCTTCAATGCTTATCGAATACTGTCCTTTTGGCGATTTAAAAACTTACCTAGATCGAATCCGAAACGAACTCGAGAGCGCGAGCCTCTCAGAAACGAAAATGACCAGTTTCGCATGGCAGATTTCGTCAGGTATGGAGTACCTCGCTGAAAGGCGGCTCGTTCATAGAGATTTGGCGGCACGCAATATTCTATTGGAATCAGATGCAAAAGTCAAAATCACCGATTTTGGCCTTTCCCGTGATATATACACAGAAGGTTTATACTACAAACGGTCGGCCGGTAAACTGCCGTTTCGGTGGATGGCACTGGAATCGTTCTCTCGAGCAGAGTATTCGGAAAAGTCGGATGTCTGGTCATTCGGCGTGCTCATGTGGGAGATTGCGACTTTTGGTGAACAACCCTTCGGGGCTTTACCCCCAGATGTGGTTATTGAACAGCTTCGACAAGGCGTTCGTTTGCATCAGCCGGAAACCTGCTCGATAGAGCTTTATGAGATCATGAAAGCATGCTGGCATGAATCCCCCGATGGCCGACCGACGTTCAGCCAGCTTAAGCAACAATTAGACGCATTACTGGTGCAGACCCAAGAATACTTTAGTTTCGACGGCTAGCTGGCTCAACTACCGGTGGATCAGCCGATAGAGGTGTTGATATTCAAACCTGACATCTGTCGGTTAAACTATTTAGAGGTCAAACCTTTATCTAGTCGATTTCTTATTTATAACTTCAAACGCTAAAAGTTATATTTTGTAAATACAATTATTTATAATATAACATTCCAAAAAAGATAGTGGAATTAATAGTACGTCGTGCTTGTTTTGTGACGTGATTGCTTAGCCTTAACAATGTAGTGAACACTTGCGGCGGATAAAATACATTGTTTTTAAATTACCCAATCTAGCAGTTGATTTGTATAAGTATAACGTTACGAGCATTTAAAAAATCGGTTCAATTACGCCGATAATAAAATACTGGGCAATGAAGTCCTTACAATATCAATTTGATCGTTTTTTTTTTTATTCACTAGATTAATTTATTTTTACTCTTCTTACAAACAACTGCATATCTGGTGCGATTTTAACCATTGGATACTATAGTGGTTTATATCTATTATTTTTTTTTTATAAATGCTCAGCTGTCATCAACTAGCAGCGCCAGTCAGAGAGAGAGAGAGAAAGAAATTTTATCACAGTATTAAACGGCGTTCATGAAGTTAACCTATATTATACCATCAATTGGACCATCTTCGCTCGTAAATTTGCTGCTAAGGAGCTTAATGGTCACCCGTATGATATCAGCACTTAACTTTTAGGTTGAAAATTAAAAGGAAATTTAAGAACACTTTGATGTTGCATCGGCGTTTTCTAGACAAATTTCGATGAACAAGGACAAATACAGAAAATAAGACGTAAACGGATGGCAATGTACCTCAAGCTCAAGTCAACTTTCTGTTTTTGGTCAAAGATAGTCAATGGGACCTTATAGAAAAAGCATGAAGAGAAACAGGCGGGATTATTGTCAGGGCTTGTAGAGATGCTGACGACACTAATTAGATACAATAGTCTTCCCCGAAGGAAACCATCGCTTCCCCTCGCCGTGGCTTTCGTTCATCCATGTCGTCAATTCTTCACTATTCGATTGCTATATAGTAAGAATTGGTATAATGTAACGCTGTCACTTCGATGATAGGACCGGCCTGAGGACTCGCCCCTTTATGTGAATGAAGCGATCTAGTAAAGAGGACGCAAGATCGGTCATCCACAAATATAGGCGTAGGGGATGAGAGACGATGGTCACGAGCTGTTGTTTTTCTTACTTAATCCGTTACCGGCGGTGGCAATTTCCTGCCCGATCAGCAGTCCCTCGGCGACGTTTCACGTTTGAGAGTCAGCTGCAACGACACTTATATTTATTGATCCTCCTTGTCGATCTTTGGAGACAGATCTTTTTTAAGTGCTTTACTACGCAATGATCGCATAGAATGATGATAAATGTTGGCTGTAATCTGCTGCTACAGTAATGCTTTATCGTTACGACAAATAGCTTGGCTAAGGCAAATGCTCAGCGACTGGTTGTATCAGATTTTTATTTCCAGAGGCAAAAAGAAGACTGGGTGCGTGGCTTTTACGAAGATAGCATTTTTGTATGCCTTTGCTTTTAACAACGACGTATCTATCGATATATGCTCTAGTATAACTAGTTGAATCGGCAAAGGATTAAGTTAGGATCGTGCCCAATCTTTGCCATATTTCATTGGCAGTCACCTGTTGACCTTAGACTTTCACAGAGAATATAATATAATTTTTATGTTTTATAATTAACCGACCTTTGCAAGTGGACGTGGGCCATTGAATTAAACATTTCAAAAATTAAACAACAGTGTGTACACAATAGGTGCATGCACAATCTTGTTTTCCCTATCTGGCACTAGGCAGCTGCGGAACCCAAAAAAAAACTCGAGTCATTAGTGACTCGAAGCCCGTATGCGGTAAACTACGTGTTCGATTGCAAATAGTAGCTACGGAAAAGAATTTATTTTTTCAGAAGACGTGGAATTGGTAACAGCAGACTCTCCGATACGATACAACAAGGGTGACAGTAACATTCGTCATTTTTGTTACCCTATAATCATCATTTTCGTCACGTTTCTATTCTTTTCATTGATTCAGTGTCTTTAAGGTTAAATTCTAGGTTGTGCCTTCTCAGCCTCTATATATAACATTTCGAAGATGATAAATTGTTTTTGTACCCCGAGCTTAAGGACGCAACCATCCTTCTCTGCTAAACAACAGCCTTCTATGTAAAAATAGGCGTGTGGTTTCAGCTCTTTTAGCACTATGGAAAAACAGTGGAAAATAAATATGATCATGGTTGGTGCGGTAACGACAAACACATTCTTAACAGACAACAGCCCTGTTTAATGACAAAGGACAAAAAAACACATTGCTCAATGCAAATGCCTCTTTTTCTCAATACATTTGTTGAAATCGATCAGTATTTATTAAGGAAAAAAAGCTTAGAATGAATAATGAAATAGATAATATAATTTTCCGTGACATATGCTTCGGTCTAATTTTCTAACTACCTCTGCGTCAATTTTAACAGATCAAAGTTAAACTACTACCTGTATATTTACTTTTGAAATGTACCGCCTATGATTTGTGTGTTAGTTTTTCAGACATCGATTATAAACTGCCACTTCTCTGACTTGGTTGCATTAACTTGAAGATATCAATTGTCTACACGGTAGTGTTTTGAAGCGCATGTAGGAAAGTCTGCGTGATAGCAAAATCTGCTGCATATGGCCAATACACACTGGTATTACTGAAGTACCTGTTACATTCTCATACGAAGGACAGAACAGGGCTCCATATTTAACCAGTTAGTTGGTTAGAGAAGTCACAGTGTGGCTAAACTTTTCTGCCAGCCTCATGCGGTTCTCAGTCTTCCAAAGTTTCGTAGAACCCAATCAAATTCAGTGCCTATACTGTTGGCGCTCAAGGCACCATTGGATTCTGAGAAACTGGTCGATTGGCAAGTATAATATGTCACTCCTGTTAATGTTTTTGAACCAGCGAAAAGATAAATTCCGCTTGTGACAAACCATAAAGAGTAAACCTCTTCCAGAGCTCGTTGACTGTTATTTAATTTTCAGATCAAACATGTATAGTAGATTTCATGAGCTTGGGTGTTAACAGGTGTGGTACTTTAAACGCTCAATTTTATAGCTAATATAAGTATATTTTATAAATTTTATAGCTAAATAATTCGGCTAAGTTTGTTTTGTAGCAATTTTCAAGCAAGACACAAAACGCGCGAGGTTTTATCCGTGTTGACTATTTTGGATGTAATTAGAGGCTTGTTTGTGATGTATAAAAAAATGTATTTTTGGATTTCAGAAGCAGAATATTTTTTTGGAGACCATTGAACTGATTTTAAGCTACTAAAGCATTCGCTTCTCTCAGAAGATTAGTAGTCGATAGTCGCAACCTCGTTTTTAGCATAAATCTATACCGACGCGTAATACAACCACTTATAAACACTATCAAATTTACCGTAGAGATAAAAGATATTAAACCTATATATATATTGTTTTTTTTCTATTCTATAAAGAAAAATCATAGTATTTTTTACATCGAGAGTGTGGAAAAGTCAGTGGACGCATATTCCAATATGGTGATCTTAACCTATGCTGGTAGTTTAACTATTTTCTTGAGAAAAACAGACTGTAATGTCCGAATTTAGTCGCACGGTTCTGGCGCTACGGCAGACCCCCAGCGTCGTCTAACGCGCTTTAATAATTCAGACATAACTATAAATAAATAATAATTAGCTGACCACTGCAGAAGATCAAATCATATTATTGCTATGGTCGTAAACTCACGAAACGATTACTGCATACTAAGTCTCGTGTGCGACGCCATTTTTGTTACTCTGTAAGATCGCATATCGGATTGTCTTCGAACTCGCGCATCGTTTGACAACTCCTGAATGATCCGAATGCCGAATCAGGTCAGATGATTTTGCTATCGCGAATTATTTTCTTATTTTACCCTTTCCAAACATTTTCTTTGTCAAGAAGACCCCTGTGATCTGAAATTAACTGGAGTCGATAGCGGGAATAACTTCGTTGTTATTGACATCTCGTACTACGGCTATCGGTATTAAAAGAACTCTCCACATAAACAAGATCATTTTTTATTCCTTTGATTTCCTCTGGTCACGAGATTTACGAGCGGATATCAACAGACTCAGGAGCTAGACCTTTCTCGCCAAAGATTGCCCTAAGCAATGTGATTTTATTAAAATGTTGTTATTAGAGCCTTCGCTATACATATGCACGGCCTACAAATCATAAATCATCGACGCGTGACAGGGGGGGGGGGGGGGGGTCCTGCTAATTTTAAAGTACGGACGTGATTGGGCAGTATCTAGAAGAACTGCACTTGCGTCCCTGAGCGAAGTATTACTCGTGAAGAGCTACCTCACTTTGAATCACATTGAAGGATCACATACCCAGGCAAATACATATACGTGCACATATATATAAGGCGTTATATTTGTGTAGTGCTCTTCGTCATGATAAGCAGTTGCTGGTATGGCTTTCCGGACATCATTCGTCTGTGGAATCCGAGGTAGCAGCTGCTGTGTCCTGCTAGCTTTAGGTAGGAGAAAACAATCAGAAAAAGCACACTCGCCATTTCGCTGATGGCGCCTTTTATCCGCCATACTATTTGGGCCTACATACAGACTCTTGCTGTTGGCAGCTTGCGTTCTTTTCTTGTTCAGCTGTATTTCATGAAGCAAAAAAGACACCAGAAAGGTGAAAATTTTTCTATGTGGAGTGCAACAGACCTGCCTGAATCTCCAGCTAGCGTCATTTGAGCAAAAATGTATGCTTTGTACTTCGTTTAGAGTAGCAGACAACTACCTCTATTATCTCTCGGTAGCGCTCTACCATTACGTTAGTAGGCAAAACTTTTTACCTATGCAAACCAAGCGCCATGGGATCTCTTTCAACATTTTCATGCATTTTGCGCGATGCGTGTGGTCATCTCCGAAATGTGGTCCTGCGGGTCCCTAAGAATGATATGTTTAAAATCGGGCTGGC